TTTAGATGGAATTTGGTGATTCCAACGACTAATATTTCCAACGGCTTTTTACCGTAGGAATTTTCGTTGGAATATGCAATTTCCGTTCAAAATTTTATTTCCACCCCTGTTGGAAAATCCACCGTTGGAATCATCAAAATCCAACAGAAATTCCAATGGAGAACTCATTCCAATGAAATATTTCTGTTGGAATTTTCGTTGGAATCCATTGAAAAATTCTAACGGAAATAATAGTATTGAAATATCCGTTGTAATTGCTGTTATAATCATTATATTATATTAAATTTCCATTGGAATTTCATCATTTTCTTGTAGTGACGGAAGTTATACCATTGAAATTTCTATTTGAATATATTGTCGTATAATTTTTCGTTGGAATATGACATTTTTTTGTAGTGTTATTTGTGCTTATTTTACAGATTTTTTGACCTTTAGGTTGATTTTGCTTATTTATATGTTTTCGTGTTATTTGTATATTTTTTTGGGAACCGTCGCCGGAATAGGACCAAAACTCGCCACCGAGTCGCTATTTACCGAACCGCAAACCAAACCACGGATCGCGCGGGCAACAGACGTCGCGCGCATGCGTCGCTCCTACAGTGCAACCACCCCCGCGAGCGCGAGGCATCGCGCCCTGCGAGCTGCCTCGCGTCCCGCAATGGGCGAGGTATCGTGTCCGCGAGCACGCACGCTCGCCCTGTCACCTACACCCATCGCGCATGCTACGGACCTCGTGCCAGCGGCGGGTGCCGTTAGTCGAACGTACCTAGACAATCCGAGACCAATTCCAAGGCTCGGGAACATTAAAAACTCTTAGTTCTTCTTAAGATTTTCTCCATTTTGCTTTTATCATGTGCTCGAATTGTTAGAATTAAATACATAGAGAACAAAAGCTTGTGATTTCTATCGTTATTATAAGTTTCCGTTTCTCTATTCTCATTATTGGTTGAATATGAGTTCAGTTTTGATTGATGTGGAATTTAATCGAGCGTAAGTTAATTAATCGACCTAGGGTTAGCTAGGTATTTTCGATTCTCATCTCGAATTTGTGTTGGATGTGTGGTGTTCATACATGTTTGAATCGCTTAAACTTCATGATTTGTTGCTTGGTCACCATCTAGTCTAGATTGATAATGGTGCAGACGGAGTATCAAAATATATATTAAGCTTAATTGCTAATAAAACTACGACCTTTTCGGAATTTGTAATTATATGCACCACTTTTAAACTTGGCAAATATATACACCACTTCCACATCTGCTGACATGGCAGTTGATGTGGATTTTCTGCTGACATTGCTGCTGACAAAGCTGACATAACCATTTTTTTGCTGCTGACGTGACGGTTGATGTGGCGGCAAAAAATATAAACAGAGCCAAGGTTCGAACTCGAGACCTCTGAGTTGCATTATGACATTATAAATTAAATCAAATCAGATATAAAGTTATAATAAAATAAATTATATAATATTAAATAAAAATATAAATTAAAATAAAGTAAGATAGATTATTATAGTACAGTGCATTTAAATTAAATTAAATTTAAATAAATTATTATATTTTTTATTTCTTAAAATAAAATTAACAACGATAAAATTAAATTCAAAAATAAACAAGATTAAAGTACACAAGTTAAAATTAAATAAAAATAATATAATATAAGATAATAAAGTTCAATTGCTACAACAATGATTTTTAGTTTAATTAGGTGGTAAATAAAAAATTTCACTCCCTTCTGAATCACCTATTGCAAGTTTTAATTTACTAATCAGCATTAGAAATATTGTAAGCTAAAAGAAGATTAAACATTGCCCTAAAATACCCAAGAGCGCTTGGATGAGATGGCTTGAGTCTCTTTCAACTTAATCAGTAGTCTCGTGTTCGAGCCCTGAGAATGCAGCAGTATTAAACAATCTTGAGGGAGAGTTTTGTCGTCCTTGTGGTTCTACCCGGCTCGATTCTAGATTAGTCGATTTCCTTATGGATCCAAAAAAACCGGAAGATCCCTCTACCAAAAAAAAAAAAAATTGCCCTCAAATAGACAGGCGTCAAAGCAGAAGAGAGATGTGATCCACTACACGTCAATAAAACGGCGTAAAAACGTGGCACAAAAGCATTGGCTAACAAAAACCGATTTTGTCAATGACTTGTGGTGCAAGAAATTCCAATTCCCATATACGTCGGCGTACGTGAGCCAATAAATTCGCCGATGGCTTCTAACCTACTGCTCGCATCTAAATCTATTGCCGGATTGTTACACCATTAAACTTGCTCCTCACTCAATACACCATAGACTAGAGAACCAAAACCCTATTATGTTATTAAAATTGATTTTCATATCATTAGTACACGTTTAAAGGTGAGCAGAATTGAGCCAAAATTGAACAATCGAGTCGATTGAGCCCAAACTGAACAATCAAGTCGACCGTGCAATTCGATACGGTTCGACTAAGTTATTTTGTTGTATAAGTTTTTCGGTTTTGTTACATTTCAGTTTGTTTTATATTTAAGTATGGTTCGATTATTTATTTTTACCTACAAAATAACATGGATGAGAATATGGAACCCTATTATCAATTATCATTTAATCAATTAAAAAAAAAAAACGAAATGAGTTGAACAATTATAAATTATACACCAAGTTATAAAGTCTATATATACACACAACAAAAACCGTGTACCACAAATAACGGCGTCACCGTCTTTTGCTCTTGATATAGATTCTTAATTGAGCTACATTAAACTTCAACGCAGGACCAAAAATTAAAAAAAAAAATAAAAATAAAATAAAATAGAAATATAATATAATAATAATAATAATAAGCAGGACCAAAAATTAAAATAAAAATAAAAATAAAATAAAATAGAAATATAATAATAATAATAATAATAATAATAATAATAATAATAATAAAAAATAGCCCTTCTATTCATATACTAATGAAGCAATAATCTAAAGTCATTTTCGTAATTGTGGAGTTTCGTTGGATTATAATTAAGAAAAATGCTACAGTTCAGTTACGGAACCATTCTGTCGGAATTTGTAAACGTTAAATCACCATGTAATTCGTCAGAAATAGTTGATCTAACAGTTACAAACTCTGACGGAATGTTTCCGTAACGGGACCGTAACATCTTCCTATAATTAATTTATACAAGCCTCATATTTTCTTTAATTTTAATCAGTCTTATGAAAATTTTGTCGGAAATTTAATGAAGCATTTCTGCATGGCGGGTTAATTTTCACTAGAAAAAAAAAAAAAAAAAAAAAAAAAAAAAAACTTCTGTCTAAGATACTGAATTAATGACTTAATACTAACATGATGATGGATCTCCAAAACAAATTTACTTGTTTCGGCCTAACTTTTGAAGTTATTTTACCCTACAGCCTTGGTAAATTTGGCGATGCTTTAATTTGTTGTTAAACTTGTAATGGTATATGTTGACACATTCACTATGACTAATATTGTTACATAAGATATGTTCCCACTCACGGTAGGCACATCATGTTAATATGTCCACCGTTTATGTGACATACACACATTGGTGATGTTAATATGTTAAAAAAAATGTATCAGCAATGTGTGAATGCTACATAAGCGGTGAACATATTAACATGTGTCCACCGTAGATAGATGAGCATTGCTGTTGTTACATATATATATCAAATAAATATTATATTAGTATAAAAGTATATAAATGGCTAATAGATAGGAATACAATAGAAAACAATTATTGTAAATAATTGATTTTTATTTTAAAATTTAAAAAATTTGAGAATGTAAATAAAAATAACCAAAATTGATAAATAATGTATTTTTCATTTAGTGATGAAATATATTTTCCAATACCATATAACAGTAAGTCTGTTGTTAGAGCATCTCCAATGATCTAATGTTGTTGTATAATAATTTTTGACAAATGTCAATAATTTAAATACAATGTGAATCATGTAGGAAAAACGTTATGTTTACAACTATGAAATTAAAAAATTATCTTCAATGCACAATGTAGTCTAACTACAATTCTATTTACTTACCAAATATAAAATATTATAATATATAATAAGAAAATTAATTAAATAATTAAATTGGTTTAAATTGGTAAGAGTTATTCTCACTCTTCTCTTCATTGGCTAGCTACAAAGTTGAGGAGAATGTAGACGAACCACATTCTTCTCTATATCGTAGACATTAATTATGTCCAAGTTTTCACAACATATGTGATCACATTGTATATTGGAAAATAAAAAAGTTGTGGTATTGATAAATGTGTTGATGTGGAATATAATTTCCACAACAACACTTAAGCATTGGAGATGCTCTTAGATATGCATTACCACACTTTTTTTGTGTACTTTTTTCTAAAAACATACACATTTTCAAACTGAAATGTCACTTTAAAAAATATCATACACAAAAATATGTCATTAATTTCCTAACAAAAGTCAACATTGTTGTTAGGCCTATAAACGAGCTGAGATTGACTCGCTAAATAAATGAGCTTGAAATCGAGCTCAAGCTCAGCTCGTTTATCACTAATAACGAGTCGAACTAAAGAAAAATTAGATAAAAAAAATCTTTTTTCGAGCTTTATTGAGTCGATCTATTAACCAAACAAGCTTATTTGAATGAGAGCTCGAGTTCTGACTTGTTTGTCAAACGAGCTGAGCCGAACTCCAGCGCCTTAACGAGTTGAACCGAGCCAGACTCGTTTAATTTAACAACACTAAATTTGTTGCTAAAAATGTACAATGAGTCAATCCGACTAACAGTTAGACCGTCTCGTCAGGTCATATAATTAGAAGGCGAGGACCTCACTCAACACCAATCAAGAGTGACGCAAGCAGCCGAAGAGTGCTCTCTAAGTTTCCATTTTCTGACTACAAAAACAGCCCCCCTTCATTTCTCAGCTTCCCAAACACCCACAAAAGCAAAAAAAAAAAAAACAAAAACAAAAAGTAATAAAACTAAAAAAAGAAAAAAAGAAAAATATTAATCCATGGCTGAAGAAGAATTTCAAGAATCGGAAATTTTATTCCGAGACAGCCTCGATTTCGACGGCCACGATAATCTTCCCACGAACTCCGGTCGAGAAGAGAAGAAAATCGTAGCCGTGAATAAGGAAAAATCGGTCTCCATCGATATTCCGAACCTCAGCTCGTCTCGAAACGCGCATTATTCCGGCAACGACGAGACGGAGTTTGTGCCGCCGCACGTCATAATCGGGCGGCGGGTGGCGGCGCTCTGCATCGGGCACGGGCGGAGGAGTACTTTAAAGGGAAGACATTTGAGCGAGTTTAGGAATGCGATTCTTAGGATGACGGGATTTATCGAAACGTGACGTCATAAAAAAATGATTTCATTTTTTTATTTATTATTTATTTAATATTGTAAAATTGAAAAATGGCGTTTGTTTGTTTGTTTATCCCGAAATATTTTTTTTTCTTTTATTTTTTTTTTTTTACAAATAATAATAAATTTGTTCGTTTGTGTAATTGGTTTTAGAGTTTTGTGATAATTGAATTGGACATTCGCATGTTGAATTGGGCAATTTGCATGTGGATAAATGGTACTATTTTGTTGAATTAGGTTCACTTCAAACAAATATATATGTTTTTATATTAAGATATCATACTTTAAAATATAATACGCATAAAAATTAATGTTTTATAGTTCATACTTATGCAATTTTGTAAGAACAAATAACTTTGGGTAGTTAAAAGTGAAATAAATTTGAGATAAAAAAAAAATGTAATATTTCATAATTCATTGTAATTCATACTTATGCAATTTGTTTCATTCAGAGATTGAAAAGTACTAAATAATATTGTAAGAGCATGTACAATGTTTTGAGTCTTGTTTTGCTTACATGACATGTAAATAGACTTAAGTCTTGGATTACATGGACAAAAATATTGAAAAGTCAAGAATAACTACAATGCAAAGAGATCAAGTCTCTAGCTACTTGGGTCTAAAATAGACTCAAGGGTAGATCGGGTCTCATTTTTTTGCTGCCACATAAGCATGACCCAGTCTAACTGCGTTTGCATCAGAGTAAATATTTTTCTCGATTGGGTCTATTTCCTACGTGGCCTGTATATTTTTTTGAAAGAACGCATTCTCTAAAAAACGGGGGAAAAACGGGTATGGTCACACGCAGATGAAGTGCACCATAAGCAGAGAAAGCCGAGATGAAGCCCAGGTGAGATTTCATTCCAAAACCAATTTGTAGAAGTTGGAGTAGCTCATTAGTCTTATAAATCATGCATATTTTCCTTATATAAATGATGTGGGATAACTCAGAAATGAATATTCGAATAAATATTTATAAAAAAAAAGTGAGATAAATATAATAGTGTGAATGGATACACTACAAAAATATAGACTAAAATTAATATGATGTTAAAAAAAATTAAAAAAAAAAAAAAAACATACTTTGTTGTGAAAAATGAGATAATGATTTTTGTTGTGGTAGTAAAATTTTAGAAGAAAATGAGAGGAAATAAATATTAATTTAATTAAACTAATTTAGACAGAAATAAACATTTTTGAGTTCTATGAGTTGGGCCGGCCCTAACCTTATTAGGCCGATCAAAGAATACATTTCCTGGCAGCTGGCCCATATAATCAGTTTTATGATGTTGGAAAATTGAATGAAAGTTGCAACTGAAAGTTTAATTTGAAACTGTGTCTTCATTTTTTAAACATGTAACTTGGTTTTATTAATGTTACATTTAACTTAACTACATTAACTCTTGGAGTAAATGAATGACTTAATGAGTATGTCTTATCATAGCCTATAAAAGGGACTTCTTATCTTTTGAAGAAAACACACGAGAAGAAAAAAACAAGGAAAGAAAAAACATTACAAAGGATTTTCCCCATTTTTCTTTTAAGTGTTTGAAGTGTTTTGGTCCAGGCATAGTTCCAGTTCGTCGGATTAGTTTCGGTTTTTCCGTTGTATCTTGGGAAACAGACGCTCATACGGGGCGAATCTGTTTTAAGGACACTGTGTTCTCACAGGCCTCGGTATATGTTATATAGCCATCTTATTTTATTTTCCCGTTAAAGTTCCTACAATCATAAAACAGATTCCGATTAAAGATGACTGCTGAACAAAATACTATTGGCGTTGCTAATACCGGTGGTGCTACTACAATTTCTATTTCTCCTTCTGTTCCGGTAAATCATGCTGATAAACCGGAAAAATTTAATGGCTTGAATTTCAAGCGCTGGCAGCAAAAGATGCTCTTATATCTCACTACGTTGAACCTTGCGAAGTTCTTGACGGAAAATCCACCAAAGTTGGGGGAAAATCCGGATATTCAAGCGGTTAGTGCGCTTGATGCATGGAATCACTCGGATTTCTTGTGTAGAAATTATGTGATGAACTGCTTGGCTGATACATTGTACAATGTGTACAGTTCTATCATAACAGCGAAAGAGCTGTGGGAATCTTTGGATAAAAAATATAAAACCGAAGATGCTGGAGCCAAGAAATTTCTTGTAGGTCGGTTTCTGGACTACAAGATGGTTGACTCGAAGACTGTAATCAGTCAAGTGCAAGAGCTTCAAATAATCTTGCATGATATCTATTCCGAGAGAATGGTTGTAAATGAAACTTTCCAGGTGGCTGCCATAATTGCAAAGCTACCACCGAGTTGGAAAGATTTCAAAAATTATTTATTATATAAGAAAAAGGAGATGACCGTTGAAGAGCTCGTTGTTAGACTTCGAATTGAAGAAGACAACAAGGGCTACGACAACAAAATGGTTAATCTTCATTTTGCCAAGGCTAATGTTGTTGAGCATGGTGAAAGCTCAAACAAAAAGAATAAGAAAAAAGCTGGCAATAATGGAAAGGCAATAATGGGGCCAAGGAAACAAATTTTCAAGAAAAATTTTTCTGGAAATTGTTATAATTGTAATAAACTTGGCCATAAGGCATCTGATTGCAGGTTGCCAAAGAAAACTCAAGAAGCCCACATGGTGGAAAATCTGGCCAAAGATGTTGATGAGATGCACCTCGCCGCAGTTATATCCGAGGTGAATCTGGTGGGCTCAAATCCACATGAATGGTGGATTGACACGGGTGCTACCCGTCATGTTTGCTCAAACAAGGAATTGTTTAATGTCCTTGACGAGACGATGGATGGAGAAAAACTCTTCATGGGAAATTCTGCCACATCTGATATCAAATGAGTGGGAAAAGTGGTACTGAAGATGACATCTGCAAAAGAGTTGACTCTTAATAATGTTCTTTATGTACCAGAAATTCGTAAAAACCTAGTGTCTGGTTCTTTGTTGATCAAACATGGTTTTCGTGTAGTGTTTGAATCTGATAAGGTCATTTTGACTAAAAATGGAGCATTTGTAGGGAAGGGTTATGAATGTAATGGGCTTTTAAGCTCAATGTGATGACAATTAATAAAAATGTTAATTCTTCCGTTTATATGCTTGAGTCTTCCATTGTGTGGCATGGTAGACTGGGACATGTCAATTATAATACCCTGTGCAGGTTAATAAAATTGAAAAGCATACCTATGTTCCATATTGATTCAAATCATAAGTGTGAAACTTGTGTTGAAGCAAAATTGACACGATTACCGTTTCAAACTATTGAAAGAAATAGTGAACCACTTGATTTAATTCACACTGATATATGTGATTTAAAAGCTGTTACGACGTGTGGTGGAAATAAATATTTCATTACTTTTGTAGATGATAGCACTGAATTTTGTTATGTGTATCTTCTTAAAAGTAAGGATGAAGCGATGGAGAAATTTATTCTCTACAAAAATGAAGTTGAAAATCAGTTAAATAAAAAGATTAAGGTGATAAGAAGTGACAGAGGAGGTGAATATGAGTCACCTTTCACTGAATTTTGTGCCCAACATGGGATAAGACATGAAATGACAGCACCTTATTCACCACAAATAAATGGGATTGTGGAGAGAAAAAATCGTACTTTAAAAGAAATGATGAATTCAATGTTGTTAAGTTCTGGACTTCCACAGAACATGTGGGGGGAAGCTGTGTTGTCAGCATATTACCTTTTAAATAAGGTTCCCCGTAAAAAGTTAGACAAAAGTCCATATGAATTATGGCATGGAAGACCACCATCCTACAAATACTTGCGAGTGTGGGGGTGTCTGGCAAAGGTAGCAATACCTACGCCAAAGAAAATAAAGATTGGACCAAAAACTATTGATTGCATATTTATTGGATATGCACACAACAGTACTGCTTATCGTTTTCTTGTACATGAATCCAAAATTGAGGAAATTCATAAGAATACGATACTTGAATCTAGAAATGCTTCATTTTTTGAGCATATATTTCCACGTAAGTCTGAAGTGGATTCTAGTTCCACTAAAAGAAATTTGGAAATAATGGAAAAATACCAAGATGGATATGTTGAGGTAGAACCTCGGAAAAGTAAAAGAGGTAGGATAGAAAAATCTTTTGGTCCAGATTTTCTAACCTATATGGTTGAAAGCGAACCACAAACATTTTCAGAAGCTGTAAATTCTTCTGAAGGACCTCTTTGGAAAGAGGCAATCCAAAGTGAAATTGATTCTATTTTACAAAATCACACATGGGAGCTAGTGGATCTTCCTCCTGGAAGTAAACCATTGGGCTATAGATGGATTTTCAAAAGGAAAATGAAACCTGATGGAACAATTGATAAGTATAAGGCTAGACTTGTAATTAAAGGTTATAAGCAAAAAGAAGGCCTTGATTACTTTGATAAATATTCTCCGGTAACGAGGATAACATCCATCAGGGTAATTATTGCAATTGCAGCTTTACGAAACCTTGAAATACATCAAATGGATGTAAAAACAGTTTTTCTAAATGGAGATTTAGAAGAAGAAATTTATATGGAGCAACCTGAAGGGTTCTCTGCTCCAGGGCAAGAGAATAAAGTTTGTAAATTGGTTAAGTCTTTGTATGGCTTAAAACAAGCTCCAAAACAATGGCATGAAAAGTTTCATAATGTCATGATTCAAAGTGGATTTAAAATTAATGAATGTGATAAATGTATCTATGTTAAAGACACAGAAAAAGGTTATGTAATCCTATGTCTTTACGTAGATGACATGCTTATTGTTGGAAGCAATGATAAAATTATTAAATCCACAAAAGATATGTTAAATTCTAGATTTGACATGAAAGATATGGGTCTAGCTGATGTGATTTTTGGAATTAAAGTTCATAGAACATCACAAGGAATTGTTCTGAGTCAGACACATTATGTGGAGAAAATCCTTGAAAAATTTAATAAGGATGATTTGACTCAGGCTAGGACCCCGATAGATACAAGTCAACATCTGTCGA